AGAATATTTTCAAAACTCAGTTTTCAACTAATAAAACCACCTGAGTATTATTTGTCACGGAAAAATTAAGAAAATTGAAAAGATACTTACCCTTTTGACTGGTTTTATTTTTCACTTTCTATATCTTACTTTCTGGTTGCGTTTAACAGATTTTTTAATCGAGTCTTTCTGCCCCAGGGCTAATTTGTGTGTGACAAACAAGTCTCTCGAACGAGAAGTTATATCCGGTACTTTTGAATGACCTTAGAGCTTATAGAAATCTAGTAAGGCGAAGGGAAGTGGTGATTGCGAAAGTTACTTATAAATAGTATAGGACCAGAGTTGGCGGTACGAGATCAAAAAGTGATCGCCTTCAAAATGGTACTTTCCATATTATGGAGATTATTTGACGAAATCATGTGTTGAAATTATTTAATGAAATCATTTGATGGAATTGTTTTGTATATTTTTCTATACTATGGGAGACTAGTGCTATGATCTCACATCATTTTTCCATTGCGAGACATTCTCAGAAAACAGGGAAGTCAATGTTCATGACACCTCTCTTAAGATGCAATATGATTTGTGTAGCGTCTCAAACAGCTTCTCCTCATTTCCATTTTTCTAATTTGTTTTAACAATAACTTTTTCTTCGTGATAACTCGTGACGAGCTCTGTTAAAAAGAGCGATATCGATACTCTTGTTTTGAAAATATTTTCGTAGAAACCTTGATCTATTATAAAACAAAGCCGTAGTACCAAAGGCTATCAATCTATCGTTTCCGCCATTGTTTTCTTTATCCAAGAACTGTATGCAGAATGAAGTATAGGGCTGTGCAGAACTTTCCCAAGTTTTTCCTACAACGCTAAGTAAACTTTGTGGATCAAGCACCTATGGTATGATATCATCAGATGTTTTTCCCGCTTGTCTACGAAGAGACTGCTCTTTAACAATTTATGTTCTAATGTTGGTAAACTACTTTGTGCTTCTTATCGAATCATGCGCACCTGTCAAGAAACTCTTACTCTGAACAACAGAGAACACCATGTTAAATTAAGCAAGGTCATGTG